AAGGGCTTGGCCCCAACACGGTTTTGCGAATTTCTCTACCCTCCGCGTTCAGTACGCTGTTTAAAGCGCCCCGAAACGACTGTCAACACATAACGAGACAGCGGGAAAATCGACTACTGCTTCTTCAATGCCTCTTTGGAGGCAGGGCCACAAGCAAGAAGAAGCGAAGGGATCCGAGACAGGGGGACAAACACAATCCTGAGGCGTGGGGCCGCGGATTCCCGGTGCGGGGACCAGCTCGATCCCCGTTTTAAGCTTGCGGAATGCGACTGTCTGTTTCTATGGTTGACTTTCGGCCGAGTGTATGTTTCTATGGCCGAATTGCGAAAAAGTATTCATCTTTGGCCGCACTTTGGCTAAGCGTCTGCTTCTCTGGCCAAATCTTTGATAACTTTAAAATGTTTCTTTCTCTAGCCACGCTTAAACCGGCTGTCTTTTCCAATGGCTAAATTTCGGCCAAGTGTCTCTTTCTCTAACCAAAAATTGGCCGTGGCGTTTCGTCTAACCCTTCTTCGATAAAGTGCCTTTCTCTTTGGCCATAATTTAACTTGGTGTTTTATTCTCTAGCCACACTGATTAAAAGCCTTTTGCCTATTCTATAAACCTTTAGTCTGTAAATCTCTATGTTATTCTTTGGTCAATGCTCTAAAATTTGTCTTTTTTCTCTGACTAGGCCGCACAAACTGTCGGCCAAGCTCCCCTAACACTATTTTCTTATTTTTCTTTTTCTCTAGCTTTACTTTTCACATAAAACATCAGCTAACATACTACTGCCTCATCTTTGTCTACTGTCTAGTTTAATTTAGCTTCATTCTCTCTATCGTTTGTCCTAATTTTACAACTTTGTCCTATTTTCTCTAACTGTCTGCGCCTAATGCCAACGTACAATCTTTTTTCTTTTTTTATATTTTGAGTACTTAGCCTGAAGGTTTGAGTCAAACGCACTGTTTTGCATTTGGGGACTTTGTCGCCTGGCCATATATTGGTTTGCTTTGTTTGTGTGCTAACTCGTTGAGTGTCGGCGTTTGGTCGTGCTATTTCTTTGGTCACAAGCGTTTTCAGATACTATTGCTTTGTTTGACGGTGGTCTCTTAGGTCGTACTTAACCTAATACTCGCTTTCTTTCTTAATCATGCTCTCTGCTATTCGTATCCTCCTCTTTTGACGCTGCTCTTACTCTCTATACTCACTCTACCCTACAACACGATGCTTTTAGCCGAGCCGTATCTCCGATTTCACGCGGCCGCTAGCGCCCCACTTCTCTGGCCGGCTTAAGATTGAGCGTTAGCCTCGCTCTTATTCCAATCCTTTCTTTCTCTCTTAAGAGCGGCCGAAGGGAAAGCGGCCTACAAGGAGGCTTTCGAAGCTTCGTACACGCTGTAGCTTACAAGACGATATAGGTCGGGGGCCCCGCTTTTTGGGACAATTTGGCTTTTCCCCTCGCCGGAGGTAAACATTTGCCATGGACTTTTTACCTGCCCGCTTTTTTCGACTAGCGGTTTGCGGAAAAAGAAGGTTTTGGGCTAGTCGTCTGGGCTTTTTGAGTTGGTCGTTTGAATGGCGTTACGCAGTTGGTTTTATGAATATGACCTTTGAAACATGGAGGATGTTCTTGTTGGGACGGAGGGGTAGGGAATTTTTTTATTTTTTTTGCTTCAGTAGGTATAATGATAGTTTTTTGAGTAGTTTTATGATAATTTAGGCTTATCTTGGAAGTGATTTTAAATTAAGCTTTAAATAAGAAAGGTGGTTCAAATTGTGTTAGAATTTCAAAGGCTTAGACCAAGTAACAATAAGTTTTCAAACTTAACTCCCAATAGGTGTTCTTATTCAATATCAACTTTTGATAGGCATTTTGATTCTAATTTAAAACCACATAGCTTATTCTTCATGAACTAAAAATCACCTAGACCTTCTTTACAAACTTTATAATCATCCAGCCTTTCCTCACCAATTTGTAGCCTCAGCCAGCCCTTTTTTAGCCTAATCCACCGAAAGTGCGACGACTTAAACGATGCACAAGGTGGGGGGACGTTCCGCTGGCTTCAAAATTTTGAACAAAAACGTTCGGGCGGTTTTTTCTTGCCGGCTCCACTCTTCTTTTCAATATCTACTTGTATTTTTTGGCACCGGAAAGAAATTCTCAAAAAAGCGGGCCTGGGGAGGAAAAAAGTTTTTTTTTGCGGAGGCCGACGAAACGAAATTGCTTTGGGGGATTTCGACGGTGCCGGCCGTTTCAGACGAGAAGATACCGGATATACCTATTACTAGCGTTTGGTTATTGTAATGGAGTGATATAGTGGAAAACGTTATGTTATTGTAGGTGGAAGGATAAGAAAGAGTTATATTATTTTAGGTAAAAGGATAAGAACGTGTCATGTTAATATAAGCAAAAACTTAAGAAAGAGCGTGTTATTGTATGTAAAACAATAAGAAAGGATTTGCGATTTGGCGGGAATTTAAAATTTTTCATTTTTCTTTTTTGACTATTTGTTTTGTGAGTGAAGGGGGTAGACATCTGCTTAGTTTCGACTAGTAAATCACAGTTTATTTCGCGTAAAATAAAAATATAGATAACTATTTTTAAAAGCATCGATAATTAACTCTCGTTATAAGCAACATACAAAACTTTTTTATGTTTTTCATTCACTATATCAACGGTAGGGATAAAAAGGCCGGGTCACAGTTTTGAGGCCCGGCTCAGCCTCCACATCCAAAATGTAGTCCATACCCGTCTTCATTTTTCTCTGACCGGCCCGTTCAACAACAGCCTTTATTGACCGTTTTTAGATAAAAATAGTCAGATTGATGTATTAAAGATGTTTTACATTGGAATCACATAAAAGGTCACACAACTTTCTTTTACGCATTTTAATATTGTACAACACCAAAGGTGGCTGATTATAAAATTCATTTCCATTTTTTTCGTATTTAATTTTGTAAATTACAATTTCGACAAATTTCTCATGTTTGTCTGTTAGTTTTAATGATATTGCTTAAAAAACACTAAAATAAAGTGTATTTTACAACGTTCCTTATAATAAGCTAGTAACATTTTTAGTCATCCGATCGTATTTTACTCTTGCAACATGTTGCATTACTTTATAGTGACACTTTGCTTATTTTTGATTATGCTTGCCAAAAAAACTTATTTTGTCAAAATTAGGTTGTTCAAATAATTCTGTGCCCTCTCACTCCAAAAATTTGCATTGAGAGGGACACATAATTATTTGAACAACCTATATAACAGTTTTTTACTTGTAAAATACGAAGTTACAAATTATATCAACACATTTTGTTAGTAACCTTTACCATCTTTGAGCGGGAGCACAGAATGATTTAAACAACCTATTAAAAACATTTTTTTATTAAAGTCGTATCTACAGCTTTACGTGGTGGTATGTTAAAAATATCTTATGTGAAAATTCGCGTCGTATAATTGGGACCCAATTAGTTTAACATATTGTTTTTCTGTTCATAGCACACCAAGAAATATCATGGTTTTACATTACAGGCTTAACACCGAACACTTGTACTACATACTAGAGATATATCTATGGTTAAGGTAGTCTAAAGCTCGTTATAAGAAACATCTATCTAGTCAACATTTTCAATTCTTTTTAGTTTTTATAACGTTATTCTACTGTGTTATAATGCCATTTTACTGTGTTATAACGTTACTTTACAGTGTCGTAACTCTATAAAAGATAGGTGAGGCCTATTGTCTTATACAGTCATTCTACTGTGTTATAACGCAATTTTACTGTTCTCTTTTTAGATTATATATTTCAAAAAAACGTTTAAACAACTTTTCTTGTTCCCAAAATTACCATGGTATTTATTTCCGACATCATCGCGTATGTTTTCAAGGAATGTTATCCATGTTCGGTCCTCCTCTTATTTAATCCGAATCTCCTGGGGCCCAGGCCGATTGTGATAAAATAAAAAACCTTCAAGTGGAGGACCGAAATTATTTTCTTTGAACCACAAACTTTGTTCGGCGTGGTATTCAAATAGTATTTTACGTGGCTTGAAGTTTAAACTTCGATTTTGTATTTTTTAGGGGGAAGGGTGGAGGAGCGGGTGGCTTTGGGTTTTTTCAAAAATTTTATCGCTTTTGCTATTGAATTTGATAAAAAATTTTTGTTGTTTAGGTATTATTTTTGTTTTTTTATTACTTGAAGTCTAATAGCTTGTAATATCTAGAGACAACAACATTTTTTGAGCAAACAAAGGCCTTTTTAACCAAAAATAAGGTTATTTTGGCCATTTAAAACTCGTTTTTTTATATCTTTCTAGCCTTATTAAAGCTATTTGTAGAGTATAAAACTTTTTTTTAATTTTTTTTAGTATGCAAGCTTTTCAATATTTAATTTTTATTATTTTCTATTTCAAATATTTATAAAAAAAGGCTGAAAACCAATTTTTTTACCAAACCGTCTCCACCTAATCCCAAGTTCCTTACAAATTTCTCTAAAAAACCCCGTTTTAATCCCAATTTTCATACAAAATGCTTGAAGAAACACACTTGTAACACAGAATTGTCCAAACAATTCTTAAAAGTTGTCCCCCTCCACAAACACAATGTGCTTCCAGAGAGTTTGTTCGAAAACTTAGTTTCCAACCTGCGTCACTGTGTATTTACTCGCTTAAACCCGGTCTTAGTCAAGTTACAATCAACCTTTTCGCATTGTTTATATTCGTTTTGTATTCTGGCCGCTTGCTAGGCCGACCGGCCCGCCCGACCCGTCTGTTAAGGAGGGGTCGGAGAAGGGAAATCAAAAAAAAAGATGTGCGCGACTCTTTTTTTTCATTTTTTTGTTGAAAAAGAATACTTTTTGAAAAAAATAAGTTTTGAGAAAACAACGTTTCGGAAAGGTAATACAATTGTCGATCCCCATTTCGCTTTTACAATTTAATGACCGTGAAACAACGTCAAAAAGTCATAAAAATTACTTATTTTCAGTCCAACCCTCCGTCTCGCCCCAACCTATACCACAATGGTTAAGGGTGAAAATAATGGTAAACTCAACGAGGAGAGTAATGCCGTAAGTTATTTTTGGTGTTTTATGGCACACTATTAATGATTATGATAATAGAGAGCTTACATTTGTTAAACACAAGAGGTTATCAATATTAATATGAGTTTTTAAAAAAATATGAAGAAAAATTACTCAAATAGGTAGGAAGAGCTTCAAAACATAAATCTTTCAAAAAATGGGTCTTGAACAAACCAATTTTACCAATAATCTTTGTTTAACCTTTCTCTCTTGCCACGCTTTTCTAACACTTGGCATTCTGTTGCAATGTGAAAAAAATGTCGTATTTTTGACATTTTTCCCAATCTTCGTTTGAAATTGTGTAAAATCATATTAATATTACTGTATTTTTGCTAATTTTGTCGTATATTCTTCTAATCTTATATATTTTTCAATTTTCTAATTATTCATTTACCATAATATCGAAAAACCTATTATAATATCAAAATGATGGTCGGGACGGACGAAATCAGCAACCCAACAATTGAAGAGATTCCTCTTCAAACTGTCGATAACAGAAGGAATTCAGAGAATGGTGTGTTGAATCAAGAAGAGATCAATCAAGGTCACAATTATGATCAACTACCTTCTTCATCTGCTCAAAATCCAAGACCCGAGGCTAAGAAGAGGTCTGGCGTTTTGCCAGCTCAAACAGGTCAATTCTACAAGAAACTCAAGGACACCAAGGTTTGATCTTTGTCTTTTTTGTTGTTTTAGGGGATTTCTCTTATCTTCAGAGGTCTAAAATATTAATGTTGGTAGACTTGTCTGGTTTTCTATAATTATCAATGTTGTCTTGCACAGAATTGTGTAATCTTATTTTGCGGACATTTATTTACATGTGCAAGGAGATTACAACTTAATTTTAGAGGATTAGCTCGAGATTTTTGAAGTTTTGGCAAGTGTAATATTGCACATATTGATGTCAAAAATAATAATTTTGACATGAAATTGGTTGATTATTGATTTACTGTATACTATATTGCTAATAATATTATTTCAGTTAATGAATGGCCGCAGCAAACCGCAGAAATCCACCTTCTCAGAATTTTTGTATAACAAAAACGAGGGTACCTGCTTGGGTCGAACCGCAAAATCATGGTGTAAGTGCAATGTTTGCTCATCGTATTTAGTATCGGCTTGATCTACGATTTTTCTCGAGTGTTGCAATGTTTTGAATTTAGGATTTGGGTCGTTTTTTGATACAGATATAAAGATTGAAAGCAGAATATTAGAAAATTAAATTTTAGTCGGAAAAACGGAATTTCAAGCAAAAAAATGAAACTCTAGTTGAAAATTGGTTGAATTTCAAATTTTGAAGCATATTTTCACTTTTAAAGGACTTTTTGGTATTTCTAAACTGATTTTGATATTTTCAAGGCTTTTGAAAACAATAACAACAATATTTTGATGTTGTTTACTAGTTGACGAGATGATTTTAGATAATATTTTGTTTATTTTTATTACAGACTACTAACGTTTTGAAGTTTAAGATGTTATCTATCGTATTTGACAAAATTATCAGTAAAATCAGAGGAAATAACAAAGAATTAGCAAGTTTTATGTTGTACATGAAACCTGTTTTTAGGTTATAATTTCAAGTTTTTGGAATAATTTGAGGTACAGCTAGGAGTGATAAGAGAAAAGGTGGCATTTTAATAAGAGTTTGGTCATATTTTTTGTATTTTATTTTAAAAATTTTGTTGAAAAGTTTAAAAATTGTGGAAATTTGGTTTTGGACTATTTTTTGACACAACAAAGGCGTATGACAATATTTTCAGGTCAAATTACCATCTTCTACATTATCTTCTACACGATCTTGGCCGCCTTCTGGCTGGGTTGTCTTTATGCATTCTTGTCTACCACAGATCCTCAACTACCTCGGTTCTACGGAAAAGGAACCATCATTGGAGCCAATCCAGGTAATGACAATATTTTGATTATCTTGGATAAAACTTTGATTTTTCGCATTCTTAAAAGCAAAAAATTTAAAAAAAACTTTGAAGGAACTGATAACGTTGATTTGAGTTATATTTTAGATGATTTTTAAAACGGTATTTTAGCTTGATTTTGGTAATTTTGGGCTTTAAAGCATTTTTTAAATCATTTCTGAATTTTTGGTTTTTTAGATATCTGAAACATTTTAAAACATAATTAATATCCACTGTATGTTCAACACGCCTCCTTTCGATTCATTTTAAAATGACTTTTTCTTTTTCGATCGCTCAGTTCAATTGACCTCTCAAATTAAAAATCGAAAATTTTAGTTGATACATGTGCATGCATGTGCTTTTATAAATATTAAATCAAGAAAATGTAACAAAAACGGCAATATAGGTTATAAAATGGCAGTTTTATACAATATAGGCTGCAAAATAAGTGTTTAGGAAGATGAAAACCTTTAAAAAATAATTATTTGACGTTTAGTGTAACGTCAAAATTCGATATTTTTGGAAAAATTTTTTATTTTTTTGGAAGAGAAGCGATTATAAAACTAATCGAGAGTGACAAGAAAATAGAGAGTCGGAAATGTCTGATGCTCGGGCTTATAAATAAAAACAAAATATTGTTTTTTTTGGCTAGAAAAAACGTGGGATATTGCAATTACAACAATAAAATTACAGCAGACGAAAAATTTAAAAATAATGTAAAATACGTTGTTTCTTTTATAGGGTTATAAAGAACATTAAAACATGAGTACCAAAAACATCTAAATAAAAATTACTTCTAGGTGTGGGCTACCAACCATGGCTGAAAGAAGACCCCGAGTCGACGTTAATCAAGTTCAACCCCGCCGACCCCGACTCGTATAAGCGGTACGTGGAGGTGCTGGACAAGTACTTTGCCAAGTACGAGAATGACAACAACACCCGCGTCTGCTCGGGCTCCGAATCCAACGGCGACATCATCAAGGACGGCAAGGTTCAGGATGGCAACATGACGCCATGCCGATTCGATCTAACCGCCTTCCAGAAGGCGGGCTGTATGAAGAGCCGAGACTACGGCTTTAAAGACGGCACTCCATGTGTGGTTGTGTCACTGAATCGCCTGATCGGATGGGCTCCAGAAAGCTACGCAGCCGGTGAGGTGCCGGCCGAGGTTAAATCGCGGTACAAGAAGAACAACATTGCTTTCCACTGCAAAGGAACGGTGAGGTTTTGTAGTGAATTTTGAAGGGGAAACGTGATTCCACAAGGCAATTTTCGGTGTTTTTAGAGTTTTTTTGGCTTTAAATGATATTTTATAGTCGAAGAATGTTGTTTTTGCTTTTATTTTTAGATTAAATTAATCTAAACGTTCAAAAACTATTTTAAAAATGGTTTAAAATTGAGTTTTAGGCTTAAAAATAACAAAAATAAATATTAAGGCTTTTTTGATTATACAATTTAATTTCAGCACAATGTTGATCAAGAACACGAAGGACCAATCGAATACGTACCTCCAGAAGGCATTGACGGTCGTTTCTACCCATACGCTGTGATGGAGAACTACCAACAACCTATTGTAAGTCTATTTTCTTTGAATCTTGATGATTTAGGGAAAGCGAAATTATTTTAGGGCTTAAGATGATGTTTGTAGGAAGCTTATCTCCTTTATTTTTATCAAGATTGAAAACAACCGATCAATATTTTACTTAAAAGCTTTGTTATAACGATGAAATGGGCTATTTAAATAATAAAAACTTAAAACCCCACGCCATTGCAGGCTCTGATCAAGTTCAAGAAACTGCCACTGAACCGCCTGACCATGATCGAGTGCCAGGCCTACGCCAAGAACATTGAACGGAACCCGATCGATGGTCTGGGCACGGTCAACTTTGAACTGTTCAAGGTGGACGGGTCCGCCAAGAACAAGAAGGAGCTCTGAAGCGGGTCGTGGCCGACAAAAACAAAAATTCTCTAGGGGTCTATGTTGTCTTTAATAATTTTGTTCAGTTTGTGTATTTTTTTTAATTTTTGGAATAATTAAAATGTCTCAGATCTTTCGGTCGATTCCACGACAACCACACTTTTTCTTGTTTGTTTCGCGTTGAGATTGTAACGGAACAGCGACTGGCAGGCTAATATTGCTCAAACTTAGAATTGTAGACGGAAAAATGGCTTCAAAATCCGCGTTTTTGGCGGATTTTTGTGTTTCGAAAAGGGTTTCGGCAAGATTTTGATGGTTTATGATAAGAAAAATTGTTGTAGATGGGTCTGCAGTGTGATTTTGGGATTGTAGGTTTATTCATGATAACATTATGCCATTGTAAGCCTATTTACTACAAGTTTTTGGTATCGTAAATTCAATTTTTTGTTGAAACACGACGAAACAAGCCTTGAATTAGGTAGCAATGCATGCCAATTAGGTAATATCCTTTGTATTCAGCACTGCAAAGCTCTCGCTTAGGCTTAGAGATGCAAAATGGTACTACTTTTAGTTATTGGAATGGTACAACTTTAATTTTTGTGGTGGTACTGCTTTTACTTATTAAAATGGTACTTATTAGAAAGTTTTTTGTTTTTTAAATGGTACTGTTTGTAGTTTTTGAGTAGTACTAACTTAAGTGCTATGAAAAAGTACTAGTTTTTGTGGCGCAATTTGGTACCACTTTATTATCAATTGGTACCAATTCATTATTTCTACTTACTATTGTAAGCTAAAATAGCCTATAGACATCACAAAAGCCATAAAATGGTACTATTATCTAAAAAAGTTAGCCTCGTAGCACTACCACCTAACTCGGGCCACAGTACCGCAAAGTGTACCACTTTAGTTATCCTTGCGTTCGTAATCAGTCAGCTTAGTTCAACAACTCTTTTTGCAGCTCCGCCCTCGAAATTTCCTAGGACCAAACTTTTTACCGGTTTTTCCAATTTTTGAGTTTCGACCGATGGTCGATTTGTCCTTTCTTTCTCTCTCTCCCTTCTCTTCAAGCACCATTATCTCTCCTCCTATCTATCGTTTGTTTGTTGTATCTGTCTAAACTATTCGAAATGATTGATTTCAAATATGCAAATTTTCATTTAAATCTCCAAAGTAATCCTTTTTTATAGTTTTTTTTTCTTTTTTTCTCTAAATCTCCCTAATTCGTATTATGTTTTCTATTGTAACTCGTTTCTCCTCAATAAATCTAACAAATTTAAAGGTTTTCTACTAGTACATCAAAGAAAAATGATTAAAAATCAAAGAAATGACAAACTTATTACCTTGAAACACAATGCCAATTTGGCGGGAAATTCAAAATTTAATATTTTTATTTCGATTTTCTCGAGATTGACTGGAAAGCGCGATGTAGTATCTTGCTGAAGATCTAATATTTACATGATCTTCTATATATAAAAAGTTTGAACTAAATCAGAGCGGGGCAGATTAGGTACTTTCCTTGTTAGTATCGATTAGAACATTTTTTTGTTAATAGAAACGTCCAAAAATGATTAAAAGTGTTTATTCATCAAAAGTTACAATGCACAGGATAGTGAAATACCATGAATGAAGTGAATGGCCATATGGATATAAAATGGGATAACATGCATACCTATTACAAGTTTCTTAAAATTCAGTAAAAAAAGTTGCATATTTTAAAAGGCTGCAAAGAACTTTTCAAAAATGAAAAAATATTAGAAAAATTCGTCAAAAAACTAAAAAATATATCTCAAGTTGGTTTTTCTTACTTTATAACGAACTTACTAACAACACTATGTCGATGAAGCATTACATCACTAGTAGAAGCCTAGAAAAGAAACACTGTACTATGCTATAGACGAAAAAAATATTTATGCTTTATTTGATTTGTAGGTAACCTAATATAATGTTGAATACATCTTGTACTATGCTAGTTTATATAAAAAATACCATGATTTTAAGGCTTAAAACTAGCTTTAAAACTTCAAAAAACTAGATTAAAGCCTTGACTTATACTTACCTTTATCTACCGGGCTATGTTTTAATAGTGTAAGACTTAGTAATAGTAGAAAGAACACACGAAACTAAGAAAAACACCGTAGAACAGGCTATACTATTATCCTAGCCGTACCTGATCTACATTAATGCCTAGATATTTTTTTTTATATTACTCATCCCAAGGATCATATTGATAACCTTGAGATGTGGCTAGCTTTTTTATCGACGGATCATTCAGCCCAGGAATAACTTCATGGGCAAATGGATTCGTATTGTGGACTACCGTTGGCTTTAGAGGCTGGGAATGGCCCTAAAATTTTTTTAAATGAAATATTTTTTTATTTTTAAATTAAAAAAAAATAGGTAACAATTTTTAGATTTTTAACTTTTTTTCCGTTAAATTGTTCAAATAATTATGTGCCCCAAAGCAAATATTCGGAATTATGGGCCCACGATTATTTGAACAACCTAATAGAAGCTTATCTATGCTCCACTTCCTAGTCTTTACCTACATTTTGAATACTGAAGGTAGCCGGTTGATTATTGTTGTTCTCCAACCCCTCCTTAGCTTCTTTCATTTCCTCAGGCAATGTTCTTGGCAGTTTCTTAAGCACAAACATCAATGGAGCATAGGCAAAGTTGATGAAAGCAATAATGTACAACATGGTTGGAAATCCGACTGATCGTACCAACGGACCACTGATAAATGGTCCTACAGCAAAGGCAAAACAGAAGGCGGCATCAGCAATGGCATAGATAGAGCCATATACTCCAACATGCCGGAGGTCTACGATGTAACCCATCATGGGGAACATTGATGAGTCGATCATGCCGATTGAGAAGCCCATGAAGAAGTTGGGGATTATCAGGCCGCCTACTGAGGTTGCCGAAGGAATCTGAAGAATTTTTTGATTTTTTTTTAGGTAAAATACGATTCCTTGGAGATAAATGACAAGCTATGTCAAAAAATATTAAATCAGGGCGTGGGAGAAAAAAAACAGAATTTTTTTGGGCAAGGATAAAACAATGTTATAAAAACCACTTTTCAAAGTTCATAACCTACCATAAGAAGACAGAATCCAATAACAACCAGTCCAATAAAAGTGCTCAGCCATCTGCCAATCTTATGAGCCAATGGTCCAAATATATTGGTACCAATAAGATAAGATATTGAAGCAGGCAAGAAGGCAGCTCCCCTCTCAAAAGAGCCAGCTCCCCAGCTCTCCATCATCCACAAAGGCAGCGACGGCTCCAACATGGCGATACCCAGATTGCCAATGGTAATTGACCCAGCTGCTATGATAATATACGGATCTTTGGATAGTTCTTTCAGTCCAGCACCTTCCGGTTCACCTCGATCAACTTTTGGTTGTAGTACCATGAATTGTAGAGTACCATCCATTAGGGCTAATAGAGCTAGTAATACAAAGGGGAGTTCTTTTCCAGCCCATTGGTAGAGTAGACCACCGTAAGGTGGTCCTACTAGGACACCTAGAGCTAAACCGCCTAGGGCTATGCCCATGGCTGAGCCTCGTTCAGCGTCATCTGGATAGGCTTGAGCTAGCATTCCCATGCCTAAAAAATAAAATTAAAAAAAATTTTTTTTGAATTTTCATGTTTACAGGTTTAAAAAATTTCAAAAAACGCACCAGAAGTACTAGTACATGCACTACCAACGCCTTGTAGAGCTCTCGCGATCCATAATGTGAAGAATGATGATCCAAAAGCAAACAATGCGGTTGATAAGAACATCACAACAAAGCCAGTGAACATGGGTATCGTGTAGCCAATTCTGAATATTTTTCATTTTAAAACTTAAAAAAAACAAACATTTTTTAAAAATTCTTTTTTGTAAAAATAAGCCTAAAAATTTTACAAGTTACTGTAGTTTTAAAAATTTAACAATTTTTTAAATTCAAAAAAAAGTAAAAAAATTTTTTGCCAAAAATTAAAAACTTACTTATTAGTCCAAGGCCCAACCATAGGATTAGCGATCAGTTGTACCAACGCTTTTGACCCAAACATAAAGCCAACATGAACATTTTCATTTGCCAATGTCTCGTGTCTTCTTCGTTTGGCTTCTGCGATGTATTTCTGTTCATCTATCTCATCATATGCTTCTGTCGTCGTCGCTGGATACATGTAGCCTTTGACTGACCCGCTTTTACCCTTCGACTTTGATCTGGACTTTGATTTTGACTTTGATTTGTATTTGGACCTTCTTGTTGTTGTTTCGTACTGAAATAGGAGCAATAAAATACGTTAAAACGACAAGACGTTTCTATAATATAACATTATAGGTAACAAACAAAGCTTTCAAAATATAACTTTTAAAAAATTCAAAAAAAAGTTACACTTACATAATCCTCATCACTTTCATCAGGATTGAACATTCCATTACCAGGTACAGGCTCATCCCAAGTATCATCCAGCTCTCCTAAATCTTTCCAATCAACCTCCCTTTTACCACGCCCATGATGTGGCGGTACCTTTATGTTGTTGTTGAGTAACTCATCAGTGTTATTTGGATGACTCATTCGTAGTAGGTACTCTGGGATGATTGGTACTGAAATCGAAGTTTTTAGTATAAAAATGCAGTACTATTTAATTTTTTTTAAACTTTTTAGTAAAACATGATATCATTTTAGATATAGTAATTGCCAAAAAAATACTGTAACTATTAAAAACTGCTTACCACAGTAATTTTTTCAAAAATCACAAAATTATTTTTAAAAATAACTTAATCATGAAAAGTCATGCCCTTTGACGTATTTTACAAAAAACCCTTACCAACTGTAGTCAATAACATGTTATCCAAAAACAGAGCGACATATACGATAAGCAGTAAGATTTTCCTGTTCGACCGGTATGTTGTGATGAAGTCTTGGATTAAACCCATCGTTTCGAGAACCTTCTGGTGGTATTTTGATGTTTTATTCTAAAATTTGAAACAAGTTATTTTTTTTAATTAAAGAAAAACTTTAAAAATTAAGGTTACAGTACTAATTGTAATATTACAGTAGACAAAGCTATAAAAATATGCTCTAAATCATCAAAATTTGAAGAACTATTACTAGCCAATTTTTTTCCAATTTCAAGCCGAATTTTTTGAATTCTCAATGATCACAAAACACGTTTAATTTTCCCACACCCCGTGCCCAAATCTCATATTCATATCAGATGCAAAAGGTAAAAGTTTGGCCGAGACGGCCTTCTCTTGTTTCCGCGCCGCTGTTTCCTTCGGCTCCATCGAATTCACGTTTTCCGCGACAAACTTCTTTCCAGGAGGACAAAGCCCCGACGAGCTCGAATGACACAATAAATGTTTCATCGAGTATAAAGTTCACGGTAAATTGAGTATAAAGTGTTCGGTAATTACGTATCATACGTTATACTAAATTGCCGTGATTAATTTCAAGAATAACGCCCATTACCCACCCCTTACTTTAACTGTACCTAAAATAAAAAACCTTGCTTTATCTTATTCTTAACTTCTTTTTCTTTAATCACTTCGAAAAATTTGTTAAGCCTTATCATGCACTTACCATGACGTATCCTTAGCTCCATCTCTAAACCTATACAAGTTTTGATCGATACTAAGCTTATTAACTGCAATCTAATATAACTATATGAAGCTATTTTTAAGCCCTACCTTAACAATTTCCTTAGACATACCCTATTTCCTTAGACGTACCCTAGACCTATAAAATTTATTTTTGATTGATATTAAGATTATCATATACTCTGGTACTACTCTGTCTACTACTGCTTTACTCAAATTAGCAAAGAATTCCGTATTTTACACAGCATTATCATACAAATATTCAAAATCATAAAATCTTTGACATATACAGCCAAACTCCTGTAAGTTGTTCTTCTTTGACAACTATAAATTCCACTACATATAAACCTAGCTTTAAAAACCTCAAATATTTTCTTTTTGTGCCACGTCAAAAGCCTCAAATTAATCAAACGTTTTTTTGGCAATGACCATTATGTCAAATTAATATTGAGATAAAAGTGCAAAGACTTATACAATAAAACAAGTAATTTATAATTTTGTAGCATGCCTTACTTTTATTTATTTATTTATTTTGCAACGTTTAATAATATGAAATTTTACTTACTTTACTATACATCCAATTATTTCCCGTATTTTATAAAATATATGGCTATTTTTTATAAAAAATTTTAATATTCATTTTTGAAATCTTACCCATCGCACATCATCCAGCTCAATAAAGTCAATTACTTGGTTAGATTTCAAGTACATAAGCTAACTAATCCGAAATTTGTAAGATACGAAACACAGAATACTTTTGACTAATTTAAAGCTAGATTTTATTATAAAAATCAGCAAATATAGAAATTTTTAGCCAAAAATAACAGAAAATACTAGTTTTTACAGCCTTTTAGTGATAAGTTAGAGACGGAGTTTCCTTAAAAATTTAGGTTTGTGACCTCAACGTAATGAAACCCTAGATGTGGCTAAAGTTGAGACGCCTACTCTTCATGTTTACATCTCAAATGTAACGTTCTTTTTTAGCGTGGCAAGGTGGTTTTTTGTACTTTTAATTTTTGATATCTAATTTTGAAGATTTTATTGACAGAATTTATTATGATTAGTAGCAGTGATAAGGAACCACGTATAACAAGTAAAAAGTAGAAAAAGTTTTCATTTTTATTTTGACCGCGGGCCTCTAATAATTCCATTTGGGACTCACTTCCCACTCATCATCCCGTCTCCCTTTTCTCTAATCAACCTAAAGTCTGATCTTACTAAACCAAAAGCCTACTGTAGAAAAAGTTAACCCTTGGTGTAATAAAATCACTAATTTTCACAAAAATCTACCAATACCCTCCAAAACAACCAATTTAAGAAAACCTATTAAAACCTTCCTAAAGTACGTCACACCCGCCCAGTTATGTGTAAACCCCCTTAGGCCGGTAGTTGGCGGATCTCTGCAGCAATTCGAAGCCTTCCACCGTAAACCCTTCAGATGTCGGAAAAAGGGAGAAAAAGAGGTTCCGAAACGATTAGTCTCAAGGCCTTCCTGTCGTTTACAGACCACCATCTATCGTCTTCTGGAAATTGGCACTTGAGAGCTCCTAAGGCCCGACTTGTAATAAGCCTAGGGCTGCATAAATTTATATTTATACAAACGCGAACTGTCGGAAACAGTCCTGTTCGTATAAGTCTACTCTAATATAGACAGTGGACTATAATAGAATCTTTAAACAAATGACATGTAGAGCTGAAGATGGGATGATATAGACAATATGACGAGGCAGTACATACAAATTTAAAATTTTTTAAAAAATTTTTCCACTGCTTCCTATTATACACATTAGTACTTTAATAGCCTATTCTTAAAAAAAATTCTTCCTCCTGATTCTAAAGAAAGTTTACTATAACTTTTTATAGCTCACATTATCTATATCCCTCCTCCCCCTCAAACCACCTATTTTTACCCCTCTCCTCAAAAACCCAATTTTTTCACTTCCCCCTCCCTCTCCAAAAACCCAAAAAATCAAAAAACAGCGGCCCAAACCCGCGAGCGGATCGTCATTCATCCGGCGTTTATGTTTGCGTCGGCGGAAGGCCATTTCGATACCTTGGGCCGAATCCTTTAACGAGTGTTACAAGTACTGGTTGGCCCCGGTTTCCGACATTTTCATGGGAACCAGGGAATAAAGGGAACAGCTCATTGCCGAAAGGTTTGTAAAGGATAAGAAAGACGCATTTTTAAGTACCGCAAGTTTGGGCCGAGACGTTTTTCGGCGGTGTGGAGATTTGAAGACACAAAAATTTTAAAAATTATTTTAAAACATTTAAAAATCCAAATCGTAGATTTTTATTTAACAATCAAAGCCTATCACAATATAAGTTAAGACAATTCTCAAAGACCAGAGTTGACAAAAAAGGATTTTATTATCCAATTATTAATAGCAGCGGACTATTTTCCTAACTTACGACGTGTCAATCTGTTGAAAAACTGACGTACTTTACCATGATTGGGAGTAGGAACTTGAGTTGTTGCTGTCTCCTCTGCTGTTTCTAATTTCATATATGGAATCATTGCTTGATGAATATAGTAGACCATTTCAGGAACAGATGGTTTCTTACGCGGTTTGAAGCTTGCTAGGAATGACACGCCCATTATTATTAGAATCAGCATGTTAAAGGCTGGTAGGGCTAGTCTGAAACAAAAGAGAGGTTTACAAATAGCGATCAATGAGTGAAGGTAAAAACAAGCCGTGCCAGACCAAGAATTAGTATTGAAAAGTAGCTCCGTGTAATTGTTAACGACCCAGCCCTAAACGTTGAGCACCAGGTCTGGGCCGGACCTCAAAAGTGGGTTCGGTGCGTTACTCATTCCCTTCCTCTATTTACCCCCAAATCCAAGCTTTGAAAAATAAAAAAATTGAAATAAAATTTAAAAAATCCCACCCATCGACTTCAAAGAAAAGTTACTTACAGTGCAGCACCTTGATTACGAACCCAATTTTCATAATAGTCAAGTTTTTCTCTGACCTTGGCCTCTCTTGTTTTCATCTGTTTCTGTAGAATTTCATTGGCTATGTCTTCACTCATCACAAACCTATCGTAATATTGCTCCCAGTCGATTTCTTCTAATTTGTTTGAAACGGTTGTGGCTGAAATTAAATTATTATTAAAAATTGATAAGAAAAACTTAAATTTATGAAATTCACTTAACTGAAGTATGAGTAATAAAAAATAATAATCATAGGTCAAAAAAAGGACTTAAAGTCCGGTAATCATATTATAGTACAACAAAAATAGGAAAAAACTTACTCTCAGTAGTATCAACAGTCAAAGTACTCGTTCCAACTTCAGAAGCAGTATCATTGTTCACTGATGTTGTAGCACTTTCGTTTCCATAAATAGGATCAATAGTTGTTAGATTTAAGTAAGTTGTAGTCAAATTATCAAAAGTAAAGTCCATAGTACTTACTCCACTTGGCAAAACTGTTATAACAGTCCCATTATCATCGTCAAGTGCACTTGTACCATTGGCAATATAATCAGATGATGAATTCGTACTAGATATCGATGTATCATTCGTAGAATTGGTATTAGACGAAGAACTAGTTCCATTTGAAGATAAAGTGTCATTGTCTAGCATATCTAGTGCAAGATTAAGATCATTAGCACTGTTTATAGCAAAAATTGTACTCTGAAATATTAAAAAGGCAAATACAACAGAAAAATAGTACATTTTTTATCATACACCACCAATTTGCGTAAAAAAAGGTATGAAAATTTAAAGTTTTAGAAATAGAAAATAAAAAAAATTATTTTTCTATTTTAACATTAACTAAAAAATAGACATGAGAAACGGGCCGGGCCGGGCCCAATTTTCAAGCCCGGCCCGCGGGCCGGGTCTAATTTTTAGGTCCGGCCCGATCTAAATTTTGCTCAAGGCCGGCCCGTTTCTCATGTCTACTAAAAAATCCAAAAAGATAATTTTTTCTGAAAAAAAATAAAATTTATCTTATCCATGGGCAAAATCAAACAAAAATCCTCTAAATTTACCTAAAAAAAACAAAAAACACAACTTACATATTCATTCACATGTTCTGCTAATGATTAGGTTGATACATCATATTTATTCTGTTAACTGACCTGTTCCGTCCGTTGTCCACCAGCTCAGCTAGATGAAGGCGTTCTCCAAGCCATAACTCTTAAATCGTTAGTTTCTCAAACTCTTTCTTCACTCTAAAACATGAAAAAATAGTAATTCAATCACAGTAGACAAGTTATACATAGTTTCTGCGTTTATCTCGCGCAATATAACATGGATAACATAATTTTAGTTAGGCAACAAACCCAAAACTTCAATAAAAAACATATATTTTAAAAAAATAATTAAATAGACTTTAAAAATAAAATATTCACGATAATTTGTAACATTTTAAACTAAAATAACGAACAAAGGAATAGAAAAAGCAATTAGAACAACATCTTGAAGCAAAAATAAGTTATGAGTCCGAACACCTGCGCCCGGAACAATCAAGACGCCTTATACGCTGAAGCATGTTAGAACGCACTAATCAGTTATTGTTGATGGAAAAGGAAAAAAAATTTACTTCTAACAAGTTGGATTATATATTGCTTTTTTAATTTTTTTAAAAATTTTTTTATTGTGTAAGATTTTAAAATCCAATACTTTTTTAAAATTTATTAAATCAAAATTATATACAATCCTAGATGAAAAACATCAAAATAAATATAAATAAGTCGCAGATTCTGGTTTTATCCGTATTTTAAGTTTTTAGAGGAGAATATTCTCAAGTTCTACGTTTTCGCCAGTCAGAACGGCAAAATTTAGTGAGTTTGGCACGTTGCGACGACGGCGTTGGCCGAAGAATCGCTCATCCGGAGATGGGGCCACTTTCTGAAGTTTGAAGATCTCGCGGTCTTGGCAATGCTTCGAAACCATTGCTGAGCCAAGTTGCTTTAGTTCGTTCGCTTCTAGGCGTTCGCCGACGCGGTAGGTCTCGCGGATTACTCGAGGGTTTTGGGCGTAGTAGCCTTTCTAAAAATAGATTAATTTAGAATTTTTTACAGTTTTATTAAAAAATAAGCTATAAAATAATTTGAAAAAGCATAAATTTAAAAAACCTTTAAAAGCTTAATGTTAAGCCTGAAAATCACAAAAAATAGCCTTTAAGCCTTAAAAACAATAGTTTGTTACGTAATCTAACAGGCAATCCTCTAGCTTAACTATGGCTTATCATTTTTTTTACTATAATAATTGTCTCTATGCAATAAGAAAAATCCGGTAAAAAGTCAGCAATATTAAGTATGATTATCTAGAGATTACTGATGACTCATAATTTAGTACTTTTCAAAAAAAAATTGTTTTTGAAACTTTTTCCGACAAAAAAAATTTTAATTTTCAAAAATTTTTTAAAAATTTTTATAGTTTTAATGTAATTGAAAGCCTTACCTCCATTTTCTGGATCAGATCAATGAAATTCTTCGGCGGAGCGACCAGAGAACGGTCAAGATCCTTCAAGAAGCATCGTTCTCCAAGTACGTCCACGATGGCCGTGATGTTTTTTCTGAAATCGTGGACAAATACTGCTGGTCGATTGATTCCAAATTTGGGGACTTGAATTCGTTCATACAGCTATAAACGATAAGATTAGAAATGTTACAAGATTTTTTTAATTTTAATAATTTTAGAATTCGAAAAAAGACTATTTGTAACAAAATTTAAAAAAAAAGTTAAAATTTTAATTTTAAAAAAATTTTTATTTTTTGAAGTCCCTACCTCCTCCTGGTTGATTTCTAGTTTCTGTTCCAACTTTTGAGTACCTTCCAAGTCACTATCAATATAGTCTGTTCCACACCATCTATAGAAAGTTGATTCAGCTGCTCTATGGCCGAAATACCTATAGAAAAGTAGTCCAGCGAAGAATGAAGCCACCAATAGCCAAGTTAGAAATATTGGAACACAAATTGCACTAATCTGAAAATTCAAAATTGACGATTTGAGGCTGGAAAATGAAATGTTAAACTTAATATGATACTGTAATCAGATTACAGTAAAAATTTTTTTGCAGTTGTCTTGGGTCAAAAGGTCTTATTCTTTCATAAAATCATTTTATAAGGCAAAAAACAGAAAACGCTTCTTATTCTTTTGGGTCCCGCCAGGAAAATCAGGAAACTTTTAATTTTAGCAACAAAAGACGAAAATTAAGCGAAATCTGTTCAACTAAAGCTCAAAATGATGTTTTCTCTAATATTTTTTTATTCTATTGTTTCAATTAAAAATGGCATTTTCCTTTCACTTTACTTTACTTTTACTTTATTTACTAAATCAACCAACAATCAAAAGCATAAAAATTTAGACCAAAACCCACCTTTTCTTCATTGATCATGGCATTTCTTCTAATTTTTCGTTTCATTCGTTCCATGAAACCGTAGTTCCTGTCTTTGGCTGAATAGGCGGGTGGTGGAGGTAGTGGCAACATGGTGGGGGTGGGAGGAATATACTTCTGAGGAATGGTTGAAAGGACAGGATTCGAGGCATCAGCTTGTTTGTTCTTCTCCTCGATCGACACCACCACTGGGATGCCGGGCGATCGGGGAGGGGTGGGGGACTTGTCTTTGGACATTTTTACTGAAATTTTGAAAATTGAAATTGAAATATAGGTAAGCATGAGTAGTATAATGAGAGTTTAAACAATTAAAAAGTTAAGAAAGTCTTGTCGTTTTTGAAAAAAGAAACACATGTAAATTGACGACAAGACTTTTTATATAATAATATAAAACATATCGACATAGAAAAACATACAAAACACGCAAAAATGTAAATCAAAACACGTTTTTTCTTCATTTACAGCTTTTGTAACACCATGTTTTTAAAAGCTTTAAAGTTTTTACAGCAAAAATTTACTCCGATTTTTCAACGATTATAAATGATGCCGTATTTTACCTTACAATAACGTTTAAACACAAATTATCTGTAGTAATACCTTCAAAACACTCCAAAACAATATGATGTAGGTAAGAAAAACTAAAAAAAGAAGCGAGTGTAGCCCAGGAAACTCAAGGTAGCTATGTGACGAAATGTGATATCAAACCAACGTTCCTACAAATTTAATACCGTGAGAACGTTCCGGGTTCTTGTAACAAGTTCAACACATTTTAGCTGTTAAGTAGTATTAAAATAGGGTTTTACATGGTGTGGTAGGAACAACGCTTCAAAATATTTTAAAACTTCTTAACAATTAGTTTAAGAAATATTAGGTTGTTTACATAATTATGTGCCTTGTAGCCTCGAAAAATTTGCTTTGAGAGAGAGCACAGAAATTTTTGAACAAGCTGATAGTAAAAAATTTCAAAATAAGGTTCAAAAACATCAAAACGGCCCGAAAACTCCAAAAAAAACGTATAAAATGTAGTGTAAACTGCAAAAGTAAAGACATCTTGTCATAACAGAAGCGTTTAGGACACACGGAAGTAGCTGTTAATTAACAATGCGACATACACACTATTATGCATATGTATGAATGCCTGTTGTTTACTACATACTAATGTAAAAGTGCTCCAAACAGAAAAGAAGTTGATATAATTTAGTAGAATAAATTGAAAAAGTAATTTTAAGTGTCATTTACAGGGGTTTCATGTACTTTTGAACTTCACGCCATTCCCCTTAAAATTTATTTTTTTAAAAAAGTTTGAAATTTTCCCCTCAAGGTAAAGCCAAAAAAGATCTTACTGGTACTCACCCCTTTTCTATTAAAAAATTACTCTGCCCAGCACTGACCATAACAGTAAAATAATGCTTACAGATCACTCCCCCCTCCCCCTCCCATCCTTCACACTACAGAAACAAAATGACAAAGCCCCTAACACTACCTTTAACCTTGAGAAACATGCTACAAAGTCATCACTAAAGTGCTTCATATCCCACCCTTATATACCCAGTGGAATAAAGATACGACGGCGATTAATCATACTAATCCATTTAGAACAATCACGTCGCTTACGTAAACTTAGCGAAGGCGAGGTTATTAATCGGAGATTAATTTAAATCTTCAAAAGTATGTTAACATTGTGGATTAGCAGTTAGTTCACATAAGAATTAGTTAACTATAAAATGCTCTGCGTGGAAAATTGCAAAGTTATGGGATAGCTAGACCGAAAAGAGGGCCTACTAGGCTTGACTCGGCTTGAGACAGACCAAAGAAAATTTGAAAGATACTGACAATGTGAAAATCATATGTAATCTCGAGATTTGAGGCCCGTCTCAACGTTCCAATGGCCCAGATTATAATGTTAATCAATTTATATAAAAGGCCGGCCAGCAATTGAATTTTTAGTCCTGTCTACATATAGGTAGATTAGACTCTAAAGTTCGCACTTATTCCAAATATTACAAATTGCTCGAGAGTTCTGAACTTTTTTGTGATAAAAAAATTTTATAAGAGAGTTTGTTATACAATAATTCTACTGTAATTTGCTCATTATTGGTATATAGCATTATAAACCACCTTGTTCTTACTCTCCTGTCCTTCAATTATAATACAATCATATTACAACACGATTAAACTGGGATTACTCTAACTGACAAAGAAAAAGCTTGTTAAATTTCAATTTACTAAACAAAGATAAGAAGATTAAGTTTAATATGGGTAATGAGCTAATTGGTAAATCTTTCAACTTACTACTTTACTACGTGTTATGCGTATAATTAAGAAGGTGAAACGTAAGTGAAGATTTAGGTAACCGAAAAAATTAAATAATTTTAAAAAAATAAAAAAATTTTAGAAACTTTGATTTTAAAAATTTAAACCCCTCAACTAAACACTACACTTTAAAACTAGTACACTCTCCTACATATAAACATACTGTCCCACTACAAACCCAAAGCAATGTGCGAAACCCAGCCAAAAACGAGAGTGTAAATCTCCGCCCTTTCCTATACATATTAATGTAGGTGTAAACAAGTCTCAAGGTTTGGATTAGGCAAAGGTTACGGAGACATTGAATAAGCCAAGATTCGCAAAAAACAGGTTAATACTGCAATATCTGCACAAACAGTTCAAGTGGAATTAATCATATGTTGACAATGTATTCAAGTGTTACGGTAATTAATTAGAAACTTATTACTATGAGTGGAGCTGAAGGTATTAATGAGGGAATGTGGGTTGGGGAGAGGGGTGAAAAGGGGCTAGAAAGAAGAGGTCAAAATTTGCAAAAATATAGGTTTTGTTACAGTATAAGATGTTACAATATGCTCTTTTCGTACCACTACAGTAACTCACCGTATTAAAAGAGAAAAGAGGAAGGGATCCAAGTAGCAAAAAAAATTTTTGGAGACAGTTTGAGTAGACAATTTTATAGCTTCACAAAATGATGTATTAAATAAATGTTAATACAATAAATCCAAAAAAAGTTAAGACACTATTAGAAGCCTTTCGAATCCTTTATTTTTGTTATTTAAACATTTTTTTAAATAAGTAAGTACAAATATGTAATCTTATGTAATCTATGAATTTTACAATAAAGTCTAATTTGTTAAAAAGCATTAAAATTTTTAAAAAAAATTTGTTTGAAATTTAAATCTTGTATAAAACTGAAAAGTCTCCCTCTCGTAAATTAAAAAAGTTAAAGATAGAGGTAGTTCAACTAGGTGGTAGATGAAGAAGGAGTAGTAAACGTAGAGCCAGAGCAAAGAAGATAGGGGAGAGGACTTCCATCTTTTTTTAAATTTGAACGTGATTACTGTCTCTCTGTTTTATCAGAAAAAAACACTCTCATTTCCTTCTTTTTTCTATTTAGCCTAACATTAACCCTGTAAAAAATCGAAAAAAATTTTAAATATGAAAATTTATCGCTTTTCGAAAAAATTATGTCATTATGATTGTTTATAGCCAAGTAACGATAAGAAGACAATTAACATCAAAATACCCTTTACAACCGTGAATTTGGCTAAATATGAACGTTACTAGAAAAACAAAGTAACCACAGCGACGAATAACACTCCGAATATTATTCGGACAGAAATAAACATGAATATTCAACGCTCGAATTGTCAGATTGAATTCGGATGCCGTCCAACTGAATTCCGTTTATTAACAACATGTTATTTATGATGCTACATAGCGTGTCGTGGCAATAATTAAATTGTCTTTTTCCCTGACGTTCTTCACAAGAACATGCACATGCTTTAGAAAGAATGTTTCTTTATCTTTACTGCACAGTAAAAACATTATTGCAACGTAAAATGTTGCTATAAAAAATCCTGTTATAAGCCACATATTGCTATAGTGAACAGAAGATATAGAGACCAAAACACATCTATTTGTACCTAAACATCTACAGAAAAAGAAAACACTTGTTATAGTCACCAAAAATACCCTACTCAACTCTATTCTATCCTATAGTAAGGTGTCTTACGTTTATAACACGACTGTTTGGTTTTACACAGTAAAAGTCAACATCATAAACAATAAAAAATTCAATTTGAAAGTAAGATACGTGCGTTTTACTAAGTAGGGTTAAAAAATTCCGAACGGTTTATACATTATTCACGGGGCCTTAAGAACGAACTTTTATTCCAGTTTTAAAAAAAATATCGAAAAAACTTGGGAAACGTCAGTTATGGTCTAGGAGATACATGTATTTATTTAGTATCTTTTAGTTCATTACTGCCGTTTATTTACAACTCTTTTTGTTTTTACACTCATTTCTAAACTAGTCATGTATATGTATACAGTTAGAAGCAAAAAAATTTATTTTTTAAATTTTTTTCAAGTTTTTTAAAAGTTTTACTGAATTACATTTAGTAATTGTTTAGGTTGTTCAAATAGTTCTAGGCCTCCTTTCAAAGCAAATTTGCAAAATTATAAAGCACAGAATTAATTGAACAACTTAATAAATGATAGTTTTAAAAACCTGTCGCATGAGCTACAAAAATACATTTTTGAATCTGTTTCACACTTTAAGTTACGTATCTAAAAACATGTAATTTAGTATGGCAGGCGTAAAAAATATTATTTAAATATTTTAAAAAGCACGGTTACAATCTATATCGTTACGGTAAGCACGCAAAACTACTGTAATGTGACTTAATCAACATAATAATCGTAGCAATGTGAGTAAATTGACATTGTAAATAAAGTTTTCATAATACTATACTATTTTATAACAGCTGTGACAAACATCACAAGACGGTCGCTTGTCAGTATTTAAATATACCGTTAATCTTTTTACACTTTGCTTCTATTCAAAGTAAATCCGGTCATTACATGCGACTATGATAGGTGTAATACGTGATTTGTAACATTGACGTACAATACAAAGTAGAATGTACATGATTATAGCTTACATAGGTAGTAGTCTCTGTAATATTAGTCATTTGCATTTAAAATAGTATCTTTGGGTACTGTATTACTCATAGCAGCTTGAATTATGCATCATTCTAAAAAAGAAGTACTGTATCTTTCTACACGTTCTAGACACACTATTACTCATAGTACTGGTAGTAATCATAATCTATTTTAAAATATCTTAATCTTACTATGACTACTTACTTTTACATCAGTGCTACTAAAAACTAAAAAAAACTAATTCTGGTACTAATACTTGTCAAAGTCGAATGAATATT